TAATTGTTCTTGTAAATTCTGTCTCTCCAGATTCATCTTGGCTGTCCCTGTTAGGGAAGATGCTTATAGGATTAATGGTCTTTGGAGAGATACTTTGTCTTGGTTTTTCATATTTCTTTTGTTTTGTGCTAGGACTTAGACATCTGGAGTGAAGTTGTTGATTCTATGTTTGATATCAGTTTCTAGTTTACCTGAATTGAGCGGGGGTGGGGCGTTTGGGGGGGCGGGTTTCATTCTGTTTTGCCGTTCACCATCTTAGCTGGTTTCAGGTCAGGCAGAAGGTATTTGAAGCTCACTCTCTCAGATACTGAGCAGAGAGTCTGCTGTTAACTTATTGGATGACATGGGCAAGTTATTTATCTCCCTGAACTACAGTTATGTTATCTCTAAAATTAAGGAGTTGCTCTGACTCTCTGATTTCTTTCCTTTTCTATTTTTACTTATTATTTGAGAATTTCATGCATGTGTACAATGTATTTTGAGCATATACGCCCTCATTTCCCATCTCCACCTGTTCCTAAATCTCCCCACCACCTTTTCCCTCTCCTGACTTCATGTTGGTTATCTTTTTAGTATATAACTTCATGGTTATCTTTTTAGTATATAACCCACTAAGTCCAATTAGTGCTGCCTAGTATGCAATTGAGCGTGGGATCATCCATGGAAACAAAGGCAACCCGTGGAGGGACTATATGCCTGAAGAAAACTGACTCTCCCCACTCAGCAGCCATCAAATGATAATAGCTCTTCAGCTATGGATGGGTTCTCATGAGGCCCTTCTTTATCGATGCTGAAATAGATTGGGTCTACCTTATGCAGGTCTTCTAACCTTACCTGGACTAGGTTATTGTACCCTACCCAGTACTAACTGAAAGAGATTTTCTATTAGAGTTAGCATGTTAGAGTCTGATTTGTTAAAGACATTTTTTCAAGTTCTCAAGGTGTTCTGTTACCAAGTAGGTATGGAATACATTGTGCCAGAAGCTCTTAGGTCAAGTTTAGTTGCAAATTCCTGGGTTTCCATTACATGAGCTAGATCAGCATGAAGTGTTAGTTACAAGAATGAATGTATCATGGTACTTTTTAAACATGAGCATTTAATATCATATGTAAATAAATTTATTTATTCAATATTGAGAGCCACTAGTAGCAAAAGTCCATCAGAGTATACAGCAATGACAACTAGTGTTCAGAAGGTCAACCTATCAGAACTAAGGGTTCTGTTAGAGGAAACCATCAAGCAAGGAGTTAAGGAATTACTGCCTTTTGAATGAACTGGCTGTCTCTTGTTATAAACTTCTTGTGCAATAACAGCTATGATTCTCCCCATTTAATGTGCATTTCCATGTTATGTGTACATGTAATCTCATGATTGCCTCTCAATCTTATGTACACACATAATTGTGGATAGTCTAGAAGATGGTTTCTTGTTTAACTGTACAATTTTTATGAATAGAAACATACTAAAATATGCTTCATGCTAGATCTATTGTTTTATGTGTACTGTAGACACTTAGAGGTCTTATTCTCCATCCTTAGCTACTTACAAGATAAATATCGGCCAGACAAAGAATCTCTGTAGAACTTTCACAGAGCAGAATTGCAGGTGCCTGGCCTTGTTAGATCAAAATTCTTCAGAAGAATTATAGTGAACCAGAAGTGATAGTGCAGGTGTCTGGCCTTGGTATATCTTAGTCCTTCAAGAGATCAATAGCACCTATGTTGCCCTAAGCGTCCTCCACCAGCACCTCCCCACTCTGATTCAAATAACAATTAACACTTTGTATTTAATTCTACACCAGTTTTTAATGTAAGATTTTTGGCTCAGTAGACTAATTATATAGGTCCAGAGATTCAGGTGACTAACAGAAAAAGGCTGTTAACTGACTAACCATATCTAGATACTATTAATCACATAAAATAGTGCACATATTCTTTGCCTTTTCCTTAAATCTCTCATTGGTTTAATTTCTTTCCTTGTAACCTTTGTAGTTATCCCTTTAAGAGATAGCCAGAGCTTTTTACAATCTACAGCTGTTGTCAATCACCAAATAAGCTAACTAAGTCTTTGCTAAGTGTGACTTGTATCAATATTTGTCCCTGAGAGTTTGCTTTGTAGTTTTTACTAACAAGTTGTTAATGAATGGATATATATGCTTGGGGGAACAAAGAGAGAGAAGATGAAAAAGACCTAGATAGATATGAGAGAACAGCAAAAAAAGAATTGATTGAGAACAACAAAGATGAGGATGGAGATGGAAAGAACTAGGTAGAATGATGAGAGAACAGCAGGAGGGACTGAGAGCAGGAGGGACGGAGAAGAGCTAAGTAAGAGAACAGAAAAGAAACTGTGTAGATAGATAGACTTGACTTAGAAGAATAAAGTGAATGGACTAAAGAACTCAGTGTGCTTAGATCCATTGAATATCAGATTAGAATCCTCAGCTGGTTGTTAGACTCTTCCACAGACCCTGGGAGCAAACAACATAGGTTGGACCTATTGTTATTTGCATTAATTCAAAGAATCTATGCTGGAAATTTACCAAGTATAAATGTACATGTATAGTATGTGAACTACATATATGTATATATGTGTGTATTATAGTATATAGTTAACTTAACCCTGCTTCACTCTAGACCATTGATGAGTCCAGTAAGAGATGACATAAGGCCATGTTTGTTTATCAAGGACAACAAAAAAGTAAATAAATAGAAATACATCCCATACAAGTCATATTTGAAAATATGGTTGGACATCTAAACAAATAATTACAGGCAACTAAGGCATGTTGAGAACAAGAGAAATAGTCTACCCCCATGGAGGAATACTCTAATTGTTTATCCAGTACCAACTGGTCACTCCTGAAATCATGCACATGCAACACTGGACAGACTCAGCAAGTTACACCTATATATTTGTGCATTAATATGTTAGATACCTGCAACAATAGCAAGAAGGGAGGAGGAGGCCAGTAATTTGATAGGTATTGATATGTGGGGAGCCATGATGGGGGGTGCTAGAAGAAGGGAAGGAAATAGGAGGAAATGTTTTAATGATATTTGAATAGAAGTGTTAATAATAATAAAATTTTAAAAAATAAAATAAAAATGTGTGCTCATGTTTGTTCCCTGTAGCTGCCTAACCTGTTCTCACTTCCCAGCTCCTAATCTGTTGCTGGCTTGAAACCTTGAGAAAGTCTTTATATTGTCCAGTAATTTTATTTCCTGTTTAGCAATATAGATATTTTAAAGTTTATATTTAACACCTACCTTAAAGGATCACAATGAGAGTAAACGGGCATAATGCTGGAAACCACTGCCAAGGTGTTTTCAAATCAAATGCTGAATTCTTAATTGGCAGGCAAAGAATGATGTATCCATAATGCTTTGCCCTCAAATTTGTTCATGGTCAGCAGCATCAATAACACCTAGAAATGTGCTGCAAACATGCATTCTCAAACCCAGCCCAGACCTGCTGCATCATAACATATCTTCTAATGAGATCCCATGTTGACTCATAGACACGGGGATGCCTGAGAGGCACTAATAGAGAAACTTCACCTGAGACTCAGACGCAAATCAACCTTAAGTTGGGAGACTTGGAGTTGGGTACTTACCCACATTCCAGGACTTTAAGTTCACCATCTCTCTCATCCTTTCACAGACATCTGTAACAAGGGGGGTATCAAAACTTCCTCGATATCATCGTTCTTTCTTTAGCCCAAGCTGTAACTAACAGGATTTTTTGAAGCACATTTTCATGTCTACCATAATATCAAGAGCACCATAATTTTGTCTTGTTTTTCACATTTTTAATTATTCAGCTGTCTTATTTGTCACTGTTTGGGGAATTATTGCAAACTTATGTCTAAAATGCTTCTGATTAATGCATATTTAGGCAACTAAGCAGATGCAGAATGGGCTGACTACTTTCATAAAATTAAACATTGATGAAACATGTATTTGCACAGCAATAATGATGCCACATGTGCATAAATAATGACAGATCTTCTTCCCTAATCATCTCAGAGTGAAAATAATGAATGGGAGACAGATTTAGAAAACATGTCTGGCTCACCATGTGAACTATTTTCAAGTGTATTTGCACATGTGAATAAAATTATGTTAATTTATAGCATCTATTAGCACATAAAAATAAAAGAATTTGTAATTAGGTTTAAAAGATATGGGTTATATCAGATATGTCAGGATATGTCATAATTTCTAGGTCTTTTTTTATAAATCATAGAAAATATGTGTTTTAGGATAATCTTTTGCAGTTCTACAGATTAACTTTATACAAGATATGTTCTGAGGTCATAAGTTATTCTAAGGTATATCTTTGCATGTCTGGAATTGAAATCTATCTTGTGTTTGATAGCATGTCTCAATTTGATTGGCAGGACTTTTATTTTTTCTTTTTTGTGAATGATGTGATCTTAAATTCAGTTGTTGAGGACTGTGATCCCTTAGACTTTATCCCAAAAAGAACACCTCAGTGAGTGAAATAGATCTCATCTCTTGCCAACAGTCAAGCAAGAAGGAAGGCAGATGGTAAAGAAGTCAAATCAAAGAAGACATCAGCTTTCACAGAGCCAAAGGGAAAATAAGAGAACTCTGCATGAGAGATTAGGAAAGCCCAGTAGGGGAGTGGACCTGGTGAAGCACCAAGACAAAAAAGACAGCAATGGCTCCTTGTCATAAAGGTTGACCCCACCTGCTGTGTCTATAGTAGACATTCAACTTGAGGTTGTGTTCCACAGTGGGCTTCAGCTTGATGTTGTGTCTTATGTGGATTTCAATGTTATGTCCTGTAAGAGACAATCAACTTGCCATTCCTATTATGATGACACGTTGATCAGTAGAGGTCTTAGAGGGTGGGACCTTTTAGAAGCACCTTTTAGCAAACTCTTCTCTTGTACAGAAACACATGCTTCTTGAAATGTATATTCCATTGAAAAGGTTTAAATGATCATTAAACAGTCTGTTTGTTCTTTCAGGTAATATCAAGATTATCAAACAAATCAGCAGTCTCACAGGTATGGCTAGCTTTTGTTTTATATTTTTTATTTTTGTTTTTGCTTTGCTATGTGGCCAAGGCTGACCTAGAACTCAACCATGGTCCTGAATGTTTTGTTCTTATCTAGTTCTGGTATCATGATAAGACTGGCCTCATAGAATGAGGTTTGGTAGTGTTCTTTCTCTTTCCATTTTACAGAGCATTTTCAGGAATGTTGCTGTTATATCTTCCTTAAAGGTTTAGCAGAATTCAGCAGTGAGTCCAGCCCTGGGGTTTTCTTTGTAGAGAAGCAAAAATAACTCTTCAAGCCCCATTTCTTGCTTACATTGTTTATATCATGGAAGAGCATAATGTCTAGGATTTTATCCATTTCTTCTATTTTTTAAAAAAATAAAGCTTCTGAAGTATTTGTTTTCAACCCTCTGGATTTCTTTTGAATTATTTCTAATTTTATTAATTTGGCTTTTGTTTTACTTTTGGTTCCTCTGACTAAGGGTTGCCAAATTGCTTTATCATTTCAAAATGTTAATTTTTGTTTGATTGAGTCTATGCATTGTACTTTGCTACCCATTTCATCAGTTACTTCCCTGGTCTTTATCATTCCTAATGCCAACTGCTTTGCAGTAGGTGATGCCACATTAAAGAAATGAATCTTCTGATTGGAGTCACTTCAACCAGAGCAAGCCTGGTCTGATCTGTTTGCTTCTCTCCATGTGGCCTGTCTGTCTGTCTGTGTCACATCATCCACACAGACAGCACTGCTCCTTATTTTTAAACATCACATAAAACATGGTATGGGAAAAGAATGAGAAATCTTTGTCTAAAACTTTTACCAGAGTTTTACAAGAGAAGTGCTTTCCTCACCCAAATAACATACAGATGTTATCCATCTGTATCCATATGTTGCTTCCAACATTTACTGTGGCTAAATCATTGTTTTTAATGTCCACTGCTTTCAGCAATGATATCAATGATATTATATTTAGCCACTCCCCCCCTCTCTCTCTCTCACACACACACACACACATACACACACACACACACACACACACACACACACACACATACACACACACACACAAACACTACTCTGTCAGTTGAATGAAAAGGTCAGAGTTTAAAATTAAAGCATTGAATTCAGTGTACCAAGCTTATTTTTTAGGCCACCAACTTGCTCAAATCATGATATGGAGACTTCTTATTAGTTATGAATGTTCCACATTATCTTAGCTCTTATTTATATCTATTTCTCTTTATCTACATTTTGCCTTGGGGCTTTTTACCTTTCTTTCTTTGTGTATATCTTACTTTTCTGCTTCCTCCAGTGTCTGACTGCCTGACTTCTGGCCCTGGGCATGTCCCTCTCTTTCTCCTGATTCTCTCCTCCTTCCTCTCTCTTCTGAGCCTAGATTCTCTTCCTACTTATTTTCTCTGCCTGCCAGCCGTGCCTATTCCTCTCTGCCTAGCTATTGGCCATTCAGGTTTTTATTAGACCAATCAGGTGCCTTAGGCAGGCAACATGAAACAAGTGCAACACATCTTTACATAATTAAGGAAATGCACCATAAACAAATGTAACACATCTTTACATAGTTAAAATAATATTTCACAATAATTTAGTTTAACTTGTAAATGCTAAGCACATGAATAACAGTAGTCACCCACTACTGTTATATGAGAATGTATGTGAGATTTTAGGCTCGTTAATATTCACTTTATGAAATTAGGAGTTGTAATTTTGATGCATTTATATTTATAATTGCTGTATCTTTTGTTCCTTTTGTTAATATGCCCTAGCCTTTTTTCGTCCCTTCTAGTTTTGGCTTGTAGTCTTCTTTATTAGAGATCAGAATAGCCAAGACAGCTTGCTTTAACCTAACATTCCCTTAATATAGAGACTTTCTTCTTGTAAGCACTGTCTGCCTATCAGTGTCTTTGCCAATGTTTTGTTGAGACAAAAGATAGCCATAAATAATTTTTTAATCTAGAAAATCAGTCTAATTTTCTTTTTTTGGTGAATTGAGGCTATTTATATTTAAGGTTTTTATTGAGAGATATTTATCAAGTACTGTGATTTTATTATTTGTCTTCCTGGTTGATTAGATCATTGTGTGTATTCTTTCTTCTGTTAATATTAGGGATTTTCTGGTTTACATTTTGGACATTGTGGATTCCTTCTCAGCTTTCCTTTTTTCCTCTCAGTTCTCATAAAGTGTTTTCTTTCCTGTGCACCCATGAGACTTTTCTCTTCCTTTAAGTACCTTCTCTAATGTTGGCATTGCTCTCATGGAGCACCTTAGTTTGTGCTAGTCTTAAAATATTCTCATTTGCCATCAATTTTAAAAGACAGCTTTACAGTGTATACAATTTTGATTGACAGTTATTTAATTTAATGACTTAATACATGCCATTCCCTCTTCCATGGCTTTTATGGCTGCAGGTGAAAGTTTGGATGTTATTCTGGTGTGTTTGTCTTTGTAAGGTGAGTTGGAATTTACCCCTAAATATTGCTTCTTGCTTTGTGTTTCTGACACCTTGGCTCTGTTTTATTACAGAGCAGTTCTTTTCTGGCCATGTCCATTTGGGGTGCTAAATACATCTTGCATTCTGGTGTCCATTTCTTTCTCTAAGTTAGGGAAATTTTTGCTATCATTCCATTGTCTGGATTCTCTACTACTTCAGTTTTTATCTCTGTTTATTCTTATATACTGTAGATTCTTAAGTTTGAACTTTTGATTATATTAAGAATTCTTGGATATTGGAGTTATGTCCATTTATTTTTCTCCCTAATTGATATTTAATTATAGTATTTCCTCCATATTGTGTTCCAACCTTGGTAGTCTCATCTGTTTCATCAAATCTATTGATGATGATTGCCACTGTGTTTTTTTATTTAGTTCACTAAGCTTTCCATTCAACATTTTAATTTCTTTCAAAATTTAAGTGTTCTTGTTGAGTTTCTCTTCCACATTGCTGACTTCTACTTCCACATTGCTGATTGCCCCATCTGTTTTTTCTAACTTTTTCCTTGTGTTGCTAACTTTCCTCTATACAGCCTAGACTGGATTTATCTGCTTTTTTGTCTTTTGTGGGGATTTTCACTAGTACACTTTGGAAATCTTTATCTGAAGGACTGTGGAGATGGCTCAAGGGGTAAAACACTTGTATAGCATAAGATCCCCAGAACCCACATCAAAGCCAAGCATGACAGCATGTGTGTGTAGCCCTAGTGCTGAGAAGGATCCCAGGAATTTTCTGACTCTCCATTTTAGCTGTCTTTGTTTTAGAAGTTTCCCTTCTGTGTATAGTAGGATTCTCATTAGCCGCATGGAAGCTTGGGGGGCTGGGCTCTCACCTTCCCTAGACTCACTGCCTGGAGTGGCTAAGGGTCAAAATGGAGGTGTTTCCCCACCTGTGTTGGTAATAATGGGAAGCAATCGTAATACTGAGATCTGATTTGTACTTCTGATTTAGATATTTCCTCATTCAAGGCTTTGCTTTGATGACTCTTGGCTGTATCAAATTGATAATTAAAGCTACCTAGGACAGTCTTTTGCCAATAGTCCCAGTGATTGCTAACAATCTTTTAAGTAAGACAGAAGGTGTAGATGCCATTTTCATCATCATCACTGTCCTGGTTCATTTCTATTGCTATCCTAAAATTCTCTGTCAAAAAACAACATCAGAACTGGGCAGTGGTGGCACACACCTTTAAACCTAGCACTTGGGAGACAGAGGCAGAGGCAAAGGATCTCTATGAGTTCGAGGCCAGTGTGATCTACAAAGTGAATTCCAGAACAGACAAGACTGTTACACATTGAAACTCTATCTTGAAAAACCAAAAGAAAAAAAAAAAAACTTAAGGGAGAAAGAGATTACTTTAAATCAAAATTCCAGGTTACAGTTCCTAATGTTTTAAATATTGAGTACTTAATTGTATATTATTTAATAGCTAATTCACATAATCTAATGTTCAATGTTTAATATTCTCTTCATTCTATTCCTAATTTGAAGATAAGGAAGCCATGATTCATAAGGATTATGTTCCTACCAAGGTTATAGGTAGAAAGAAAGGGCTAGGACTTCAGGAACATGTGTAACCATACACTTAGCACAAGACTTTGTCCTGCATTTTAGACCATTTGACCAGACATTTGTGAGTCTGAAGCAGCAGTTCTAGCAGAATACCAAGAAGCCAATTTGAGATTCCTTTAAATATGACTATCGCCGGGCGGTGGTGGCGCACGCCTTTAATCCCAGCACTCGGGAGGCAGAGGCAGGCGGATCTCTGTGAGTTCGAGGCCAGCCTGCTCTCCAAAGCGAGTTCCAGGAAAGGCGCAAAGCTACACAGAGAAACCCTGTCTCGAAAAAAAATAAAAAAAATATGACTATCAAAATCCCAGTGCAGCCTCATGAAAGCATTTGACAGTCAGTGAAGAAAAGTACCGCAATGAAAGAGAGCTCTGTAGTAGAACTTCTTGGCAGTGTATAAGAGGACTGGAGCAACATGGAGAAGCAGGTGCTCCACACAGATGCCCTGAAGAAAGTAACTAGTTGTTTTAGTTACTTTTCTGTTGCTGTGATAAAAATCCCATGGCAAAGACAACTTATAGAAGGAGAAGTTTATTTGGTCTACAGCTGCAGAGAGATGAGGGCCCATAATGACAGGGAGCATGACCACAGGCAGGCATGGTGACCAGTGCATGAAGCTGAAAGATCACATCCTCAGCCACAAACATTAAACGGAGAGAGCAAACTGAAATTAGGGCAAGACTATGAACTCTCAAAGCTCACCCCCACTAATGTACTTCCTCCAGCAGGCTGCATCACCTCCCCAAGCAAGCCACAAACTGGAAGCCAGGTGTTCAAACATCTGAGAACATCAGGAACATTTCTCATTTGAACCACACCCCAGTTCTCCTAAATAGAGACTAATGACAGGCTAGCTATCCAATAATAGCACACGTTTAGGTCTTGTCTACAATAATGCTTGTAGGAGAATGAATTCTTGGTATAAGTAGTATCTGTCATCTTAATTGTAAAAGTCAGTTTCCCAGAAACTTGCTCAAGGCACCAAGACTCCTTGACAAAGTATAATTATGAGACTTAAATGAACTCACATAAGTACAAACATTTTGTAAGTTATCAGTCAGAGGATTCTATTAGAACCAATGGAGACTTCTTCAAATAAAGGAATGAATAAATTGTCAATGCCAGTGTAAACAGACCTAATTAGAGATTGTACTCAGGTTTTTTATTTCTTTGATAAGTTTGCCCTGTTGGGTCTTTAGCAGGGCAAGCTAATTTTTCTGTTCTACAATAAAAGTACACAGTGATCCTATACAATTCCATGAGGGTCCAATTTTTGTTAAAGCACAAAGTTTTAAATGCTATTAAAAACAGAATAAACAAAGAAAAGCAGCACCATGACTTTACAATAAAGAATGCATAGCTTCAACATTAATTAGAATAATTATATGTAGCTAGAAAGAATATGTATCTAGGAACATTATTTTATTCAAAAATTTTTATGTAGTAAGATTAACAAAAAAATTGAATGAACTAATGGTTTATTGGATTTTATGGCTAACACCTAAAGTAAATAAGCTAGGGTCTTGAAGCCACCACAGTATTTTTGTTGTTTTATTGTAACTATTATAGATAACACACATCCAAATACACCAATAAACCAAGTACTTGTTGCATAATCATCATGGCAGCTCATGAAACTTAAATAATAATCCTAGGTGTTTTCAGTGTTAACTATTATTTTCATTAGGAACTATTGTTTAGTGTATATACACAATTGGATCTTGAAAGGAAACTGAAGCACAGAAGAATGAATTTCTTTTCTAGAAATAAACTGACTAGTGAACATGTCCAGAGATCATGTCTGGGTCTAAGCAAGAAACATTGCAATAGTTCAGAGGGTTTAGCCTCTTCTACCCGCTGCTCAGCTACTCTGCCTTCACTTCAGTTATTATAGTTGAGAGGGGCTAGCCTCTTCCACCCCTGTTCTCGCTTTACATCAGTTATTTCTCTCCTATCATCTCTTACTTGACTGATGAGATTGAATGCCCTGGTTCACAGCATGGTACTCTTGGGATGGATTCTGGAAAGACTGTTTTTCCTAAATATCTCAAGGTTCTCCAAAGGAGCAGGAATTTGCTCTATATCTTGTTAGTGACTTATAAAAACAAGGGGAGCTAGAAGCAAGGAAGCCAAGGATGCTTCATGTTTCCATGAAGTCCAATATAAAGACTTATATTCTCAAGTGTGGGTTCCTCTTAAAGACATTGCAGCCTTAAATCCTACAACCCAAGACCCTGCAATAAAATTAAAATGTCCATATTCCTTAAAGAGTGTCATCTATTACGATTATGAGTGGGTAGCTGAGTAAATCTAGGTGTGAAGCATGTACAATACATCTTCACACAGCTCTCCACTGTATTTTTAAGGTCTAAGTGAATGATTGGGCATTAAAACCAGGAAAGCAGAAAAGGTAAACCTGGGGATGAAAACTAGGGAACCTTTTAAAACTTGGAAAATGTGCAAAGGTTTACTAGTCTCTAAGGAATTTGATCTTTTTCAGTAGAACCTCTGGTATGAGTGATGTGCCTCTTGGCAATCTGTGCTAATCTGTACTGTCCACTGATCTAGGCAGAGCCCAAGGGGAATGGAAGCATCAACAAGAGACTGCCAGCCATTGTGGAAGATGAGGAAGAGGAGGAGGAGGTGGAGGAAGAGGAGACCACCTCCCTCTCTCCTGTCTACACAAGGGGACCCTCTGCTTCACGCCACAAGAAGACTGTAGGCAACAAGAGCTACCTAGGATTAAGCCTAAAGCAACTAGCCTCAGGGACAGTACCTTTCCACTCACCCATCAGAGTCTCCACTGCTAACTCCCCGAAAGCCAAGCAAGAGGCTGAGCCACCTCACCATGGCCGAAGGAAAGAGAAGAACCTGAGAGTGCAGCTTTGCAGTCTGAATAGTGCTGGAACCCCAGAGCTCAGTCCAAGGTAAGAGTTCACCAGCACAGCAGTCTCCCAGGTGAGCACCCACATTTCTGCATGTGCTCACATACATGCCTAATAAATTATTTGGCCTTCTGAGCCTTTCTGTCCCATAAGTTCACAACCTCAATTGTTCAGTTTTCCTGAACCATGTGTGCATTTTTGAACCATATATATTCAAATTTCTGTGTATTGTGTGCTATGAAAATTGTACTTACTATAATTTAAATGGGTTCCAGTAAATATTCATTACTTCTTCTTTTGTACTAATTTATCTCTACTTATCATAATGCAATTTATAATTGAATTCACAATAAAAATGGAAGAGAGCAAGATCCTTCAGTGTTACCCCTTAACCCCCAAGTCTTTATGGAACAACAGGTTGATCTGATGAATGATTGCAGACTGTTGTCTTTTTCATGATATTCGGCTTGTTACTGTGCATAACTGAAGCTAGTTTTATTCGGTTTTTTTTTTTTTTTTGATAAAGCTAGTTTTATTTGCACTGAAAATAAAGTCACTTTAGAATCAACTACAGGAGATTAAGATGGTAGAAAACCCATGCTGTGGTTCCAGGAAGGCAATGAGAACCATTAGGACCCCACCAGCTGAGCACCCACGTGAGGAAAATACCCTGAATGCTTCCTAGGGTCCAAGCACCTTGTGAGGTGATTTTCCTTTCATTTTTGTACCTAGTCTTCCTGGAGTCCTGAGAAGTCATTTATGTTATTTCTTCCTATAATGTTGTAAAAATAACACTTAAGACTTAAACATTCTGTCAAAGACCTCAGCAGCAGTAAGGACTGAAAGCTGGATTCAAATTCTTTCTCTATTTGTAAACCAAATGATGGCTCTAATACACTAGTTCTTTCTCTACTTGCGGAAAAGACACTACAGCATCTGTGTATTGCACATGAGGCTGAACGTGAAGAAAGCATGACAACTTTTAGTTAGAAAAGTCTCAGAGCTGGAAGAGAAGGGACACTAGGATCGCACGCTGGTCCCATGAGTGGGTGTTCTTTTCGATGAAGAGCATTGCAGGGACACTTGCCAAAATGTTTATAGCTGCAGTAAATGACTGGGGACTTTTGCTTTTGAATTGTGTTGCCTTTCTGTATACATTTTCTACAACATACTTGTATTCAGCAGTGAGCCAACTAGATACCATTTACCAAGGAAAAAGACTCAACTACTCTCAGTGATTTAAACACTCAGGCTGGGGCTGGAGCTAGGTGGAACACATTTGCCTGGCACTCATGAGGCCCTAGCTTCAGTTCCCAGAATAATAACAACAAACATATTAAGAAAATAAATGAAATTCTTTAACACTCAAATAGGTAGTTTTAAGTCTTTGTCTAGAGGTATCATTGAACTTGTTTTCTGTGATGTTTCAGTCATTAAGTTAAAGTGTTTTCTCTTAGATGGAGGTAAAATTGTGTGTGTGTGTGTGTGTGTGTGTGTGTGTGTGTGTGTGTGTGTGTGTGTGTTAACCTGATTTTTAAATCTTAGAATAAATAAATCAAATTTCTATAGCATCAATGTCTAACAAAAATAAAAATGTAAGCTAAAATGTGAGCCACATATATAATTTTAAAGTTCCTAATTGCCACATTTTAAAGTGAATGAACCCTAAGTGCAATTAACTTTGGTATTATATTTTATGCCATACCATATGTCCCAAATATTATAATTTTAGTTATAAAAAATACAGAAATCCTTAAATGGCTTATGCTTCCTTCTAAAACTTGTTTTCAAACTCTGAAGTGCATGTTATACTTACAGAAATAGTAGTCAGGCCCCCAAGAGTCATCTCAGAAAGCGGTTACTATGGGGCTGGCATAACTTTGTAGCACCCAGAATTTAGAAATTGAACATGAAATGTCTTAGAGGTCTTATATACGTTCTGGAACTCATAAATGTAATCAGCTGACTGATTTCCTGTACTTGACCCAGGATTGTTGATGGAATTGAAGATGGCGATAGCAACGAGGAAACTCAGACTTTTGACTTTGGCTCTGAACAAATCAGGCCAGAGCCCAGAATTTCCCCTCCACTCGGAGGTAAGCACCTGTTAGTCATCTTCAAGAGTGATGTTCTCTCTAATGTGTGCTGTCTGGCACTGTTGCCTGCCAATCTCCTGGGGTTCTTCATGGCACTCAGTGATTTGACTGGCCTCTGTGCCACTTCCAGCTACTAAGGTCATTGCTTGTAATTGTCCTCTGATCAGGCCCCCTGCCCTGCCATTTACCATCCCTGGCCAACAGAGTATCCAGTTTCTGGTATTCATCAGAGGGTGTCCCTATTTTCCTATTATATATCCAGATAAATTCACAAAAACATTACCTAGAAGAAATATCATGCTGGCTGTGTGCTCTGAAAACATTGGTAATACTTAAACATTTATTTGGTGAGAGGTTATATACTTATAGACTGTCAGAATAAATAACTTTGCCATGATGTAGGACGGTTGAATATGAAACACCAACCTGTAAGGATAGTGAATTAGTATAAAGGTATCTCCAACTCAAGCCCAATTTGATCTCTCCCCCACCTCTGTCAACCTCACAAAAAGGATCTGTCAATATGATCAAGACCAGAAATGACAAATAAGGAAAACATACCTTCGGTTAATAAAGATGGGACACTAAATAGTTGTTAAATGCTTGTAGATAAAACAAAATGAATAAAACTGGTATGCAAGACCAGCACTCCCATGTCATTCCCACTTCTGACCAAATGCTAAGATACTTGTGTTCCATTCTCCTGCCAACTAGCATCCCCCTGTATAAGCCCAAACCCAAGAAAGATATTGAATGGATAGTTTGACAACAGGGATGAGGCTCTACTGTTTAGTAAATTCAGCATTTTATTGGCAATTAACAATCCTTCCTAGCACTCATTGCCTTCTGGGAAAACAGAGGGTCCACATAAGACTTGATGCAAATGGAGAAAGAGTAGAGTCTTAATTCATTAACTCAACTAAATTATGTATATTGAACTTACTTTGGAAATAATAGTCACATCAAACTGCTGTGTTTGCCACAAAAGCCAGTAATGAATCTCTGCAGCAACGTTTTCCTTGTGGTTCCTTGGGGGCAATGCAGAGCCTTGGCCTTTTCACCCACTCATTTCTTGGCTTCCTCCTTTCCCTTGTCCCACCATTAATATTCAAATATTTAAGCAACAATTTCTCTTTTCTGCCTTGGAAGTGACTCTCAGTTCTGCCTAGACCTGTCTTTCTATGGCCACACTTACACCTTGTTTTTGTTGCCACCAAATTTCTTCCCTGAGTTCACATTGCTTTTTAATGCAGAGAGAACATTTTTAAAGTATAAGTATACTTGTATGGCTCAACTTCAGTGCTTAAAACCCAAGAGTGTTTTATACCAGTCTTTAGCATGAAATTCAAACTCACTGCCTAATTGCCTTTAAATGCCTCTTCCCTTTGCTGGGCTCTTTATTCACTGCCATTTCCTATAAAGGGGTATTGGCCTATTGTGTATGATGGGAATGGTTTGTTGAATGACTGCAAGACATCTATGTAAAATCGGCTCTTATGACTACTTTGATCTGTTTTGAGTGATTTTTCTTCTTCCACACACAAGTGTTCTACTCACAGCTGATCAGGGACAGGCTAATTCTGTCCCATCAAATCTTTTCCTTCACAAAGACATAATTTATTTGTGCTTTTTACCCTGGATAGAGAAGAGAACTAAAAAACAAGAGCAAGGGAGTGGTACAGTAAAAGATATGAAACATGCAAAAGAGATTAGCCCCTGAAACAGGCATGGAAGTGTTCTCATGGGCACAGCAAATTTCTTTTCCAAAGGAAAAGGGAAGCATGGTCAGTGTGAGTGGCATGAGGAGTGACAGTGAGAATGAGAAGAGACAAGAGGTACGATGTTGGAACATGCTGACTGTGTGTGGGGACACATGCAGCCAGTGTGGTCACCAACCACTGTGCTGTGAGACTGCCCCCTGAGAGTACAGCAGGTGCTGTCCAAAGATTGAACAAAGGGTTGTCTGGTCCTCGGGAGGAAGAACCCATGAGCTCAGGCAGCAGGGACATTGAGGTGACAGCCTTCCTTCCACACTGCAGTCATCCCAAAGCTTGAATACACAGTGTATTCCTAAAGGACTCACTTTGTGTGTGTGTCACTTTTCAGACCCGGAGGTCGGAGCCGCTGTTCTGTTCATCAAGGCTGAGGAAACAAAGCAGCAAATAAACAAGCTCAACAGTGAGGTATGGAGGGGAAAAGGAGATCAGAATTCTACCTACAGCAGAAGTGGTGTAACAGGATAACCAGCTGTGCCCCTGGAGAGAAACTGCCTGAGCCTCAAAGGGCCCTGGGACTTTTCCCCTATCCTGTAACTCAGCAGCAAGCTCCATTTTCCTGTGCATAAGTAGGGGGACAATTATGCATGCCCTTTGACCCATTGTCCAAGACAGATACAGCAGATAGATAACAAAGTGCAGTCACTTCAGACCCTTATAACACCCAGCAAAGACACATGGAATAACCACAGAGGGAAAAGATGCAGAAGCACCACCATGGCGCTGGTGCTTACAACATCCATCAGAAAGGTACTAAGGAAGCCCTGATGAGCAGCCTGATGATGCTCCCCACTAAGGGACCTGTGCAAAGCAGAGAGATCTCTCCACAGGCGAGCATCTGGCTTTCTATTCCCACTGTAGATGTTTTTATAATAGCAACCTCTGTCAGAAATGGTTTATCTTCTAGCTGTTCTCAAGGGTGTATTTTAAATCTCTTTGTCTTTTTACTGTTTTCCCCTCTTTCTGTCATAGACTGAGGGGCCAGTCTGCCCCAGGACAGGGACTTTTAGAGGACACTTGACCTGAATGTGCTTGAGTGTGATACTACGCAGGACCTCTTTGCTGTTAGAGTGTGCTTTCCCCAACCTTGACAGCACGTGGCAACTTTTTTTTTTTCAATATAACCTATATTTTGAGCAGATGTTTTATTTAACTGATGTCCCTCAGTTTTCAATGAGTTAAAGCAAGATTGTTAGTCCATGGGAGAATGTAATTTCTCAGAGTCATTTTGGCCTAAGTTCTGCTTTTTACCCAACACTTGTTTGTTATGTAGCATTGGAACTTTACCTCTCTGAACCTTAGGGTTGTCCATGTAAAATAAAGTATTCTCAACAACTTTATTAAGACGTATTTAGGTATCATAAAATTCATCTATTTTAAAATATGTGATTAAGTACGTTTTAGTTTTTTATTCATTTAGCCATCATGAAGAGTCAGCTCTAGAATATGCTTTGTCTCTCCAGTGATGCCTCTCAGTCAGATTTGTACACAATCTAGGAGACCATGCCTTGTGGAATGATGGGCCTACTCTCTGTTTTGATGAGATTCATCTTTCTGCCCACTTACATAGAATAAGGTAGCTTCTTGGTTGCTGCCTCAGTTTTAATTGCTTTCCCCAAATGACAGCAGTTTAAAACACATTCTGGGACATTTTAGATGCAAATAATTATTTTGGAAGTGGCCAATGAAGCATGCTGGAAAAACATCAGAAAAGCTTGAAGGTGAAAAGTAAATGTGTGTTAATGAGTTAACCTGTGGGTAATTGGAGCTCAGGCCTGCTGGGGACCTCTGAGAGATTGCAGGGAACAACTCAAACATGTTCATCCCAGAAACAAGGAAAAGAAGGACTGAGGCTCTTTACAGGCCTAGCTACAGAGCAGTCTAGAGAAACCCTCACAGGAAAAATTCAAGAAGCTTTGGGATTCTTTTGGACCACAAGAAGGACGTGTGGAGAGACAGAGGGTAAAAGAGTCCCCTTCCAGACTGAAGTTAGAACTCACATGCCATCATCTTAGGTAGGATCACCATGTACTGATACTAGTGAGAATTTTATAAGTGAAATTCATGTGGTCACACCAACTTGCAATGATCTGCAGTAACACAGTAGTGCAGCTGGAGTAGCCCAGGTCTCTCTTAATGAAGATTTGCACTCAGCTGCCCCATCTCCTTCCATCCTGCTGTTTCTGAAGTGAGACAATGACTAAGAGGGGAAGTACCAGGAGAAGAACAGAAATGACAGTATTAGAGAACTCCCTAACTGGATTGACAGCTCTTAAATCATAGTGACTAGTCCAAACTGTATGGGAATTACCCAAATAACTTCCCACTGAAAACTACAGAAGGGGCTGGAGAGATGGCTCTGGGTTAAGAGCACCAGCTGCTCTTGCAGAGAACCCAGGTTTGGTTCCTGGCATCCACAGGTACAGCTTTCACCTGCCTACAAGTGCAGTTCTGGAGGATCCAGGACCTCTTCCAGCCTCTGTGGGCACCAGGCACACATAGTACATAGACATACATGCAAGCCAGACATCTAAGATTTTAAAATAAAGTAGCCTTTTGAAGCAGGAGGGGACAAAAAAGCAGCTAGACATCTTGTTGGCAATCTGCACATCATTTTTCCTTTGAGCAGTTTCTCTTCAGACATTGCCCTGGCTAAAACCACCCATAATGCCATTGGAGGTTTTCCCATTCCCATTTGACACAAACATGTAAGAGTTCTAAGTGATCTACTTCTTAACTGAATCTTAGAGTCAGCTATTCTTGGAAAAGGAGGTTTATTTCTTCCAAGTGTGGTCACTGTCCAGGTCAGGCTAAAGAAGTGATCACTGTATTATTGCTCTTTGATAATGTGGTCCAGCAGTCTGTATAAACAGAGATCCATTTGGAAAACAAAGGAGCCTTGCAATTCGATATATTCATCATTGTTCTTCTGTTGAGAAATATTCATCAAAGTAAGAAGGCCAAGATAAAATTATTAGTGGACCAATCACCTCCTTCTAAAGATTAGATTTTTTCCTTAGAGTAAAATATCTGATTTTCTCATGGTTGTATCTTAAGCAAAACAAAAAACAAATAAACAACTTTGCTCTTTACACACAATTTAATTTATATAGCCTTGACCCTGTGTGTAGTGTATTAAAAGCCACCAAGCCAGGTACAGTAAAAATACAAAGTGGCTTATGAATGTGCAGTTACTCCTTACAGCCTCCTACGTATGTTTTCCTCACATCTGCTACAAAGTCATATTGTTGACATAGAAAATAATCAAGTTGAAGCCTAACACTCTGCTTTGTGTAAGTCCTACTTTTTGTAGATGGAATCAGCTGATTGCTTTACTCTTACTTTATACTTTATTTGGTTACTATTAAGGAAGACATACATTGGTGGTAAATGTGAAATCTACTGCATGACTCTGAAGTCTGTTACCAAAATGCCAGACAGCAGCAGAGCAGAGATTGTGGTGCACACTGTAGGCACCGAGTGCACTGCCGGAGCACTGATGAATCTGAACTCTTGATATCTGCTCAAAGATTTAACATACAGGGTCTGGAGCAATGGCTCAGTGGTTAAGAGCACTTATACTCTTCCAGAGGACCCGGGTTCAGTTCCCAGCACCCATGTCAGGTGTTCATGCCCTCATAGCCTCCTGTAACTGTAGCTCCAGGAGATGGGATACCCTCTTCTAGCTTCTTTGGGTACCTGCATGTGCACTTGCAGACACACACATACATACACACACACACACACACACACACACACACACACACACACACACATATATATATATATATAATATATATATATATACATGCACACACAAAATTTGATGAATAAGTTATATATTTATGTATATAATTCACATATATGGAATTGTTCCCTGCTGTGTAGACTTCATAATTAACTAGTTAAATACATTTTAAATGTCAGAAAAAGAATAATATTACTCTTAACCTACATTCCCAGAACATGTAATGTAGCTAGAGTTTTCCTGCCTGGCCCACAGTCAGGACAAATCTCTCTTACCTGCCAGTCCCACAGCTGCTCAGACCCAACCAAGTAAACACAGAGACTTATATTGGTTACAAACTGTATGGCCATGGCAGGCTTCTTGCTAACTGTTCTTACAGCTTAAATTAATCCATTTCTATAAATCTATACCTTGCCACGTGGCTCGTGGCTTACCGGCATCTTCACATGCTGTTTGTCATCATGGCGCCTGGCAGTGTCTCTCTGACTCAGCTTTCCACTTCGCAGCTTTATTCTCCTCTTTGTCCTGCCTATACTTCCTGCCTGGCCACTGACCAATCAGTGATTTATTTATTGACCAATCAGCAACACACTTGACATACAGAACATCCCACAGCAATGTAAGGGAATTTTAAAGATGTAGGGCAGGCACCAATATTAGCCTGCTTTAGATACAGTGTCCATGCTTCATAGCTCAGTGAAGCTGTGATTCTAAGATTAAAGTCTTTGACAATAATAAAAGTCACTTCAGGGGCTGTGGACTCTGAGAGTCAAATACTACATTTCTGAAGAGGTTTGTAGGTAAATGCTACAGGTGCTCTAGTTTCTCAAATCTGGCTGACCCAGAAAGACATGGCAAAGTGTTTAAGGAAAAAGTGCTTTGGCATAGTGAGCACAAAGCATAAACATTGCTGAGAAGGAAAAGCTGCCCTGGAGGGAAACAATAGTTAAGGTTCACATTCAGTTATTTCAGCAAGGTGTTTGTCTTCCCAGATCTTATACTGTTCTTCTCTTAGAAAATCTGCACTAGGAGTTCCATTGTGAACTTAGGACTGTATGGAGGATGTAAACACCAAGTGTGAAGTATGGTGGCCTCTTTAATCCTGAGAACTAGACTCTGCCTCCTTCTGTGTTAGAGCTCCCTACAGTTGCTCACACTCTGCACCTTTGCCGATGTTTTAGTCATTGATCTTCTTTGCAGAACTGTTCCTTTCCATCCTTTTCCCATTTTCAATTGTGTTGTCTTTTGGTTATTAACTCTTAAGTGTTCCTTACATTTTACAGAACCAAGTTCCTTATGAAACACATGAGTTTCTCCTCTTTTTGTAGATCTAAGCTTGACTTCCTTGATGGTATCCCTTGAAGCACATGAGTATTGATTGTAGAGACAGCTAATCTGTCTTCATTTCTTTTCTTGTACTTTTGGGGTCATATTTGTGAGAAATCCAGTGTAATGAATATTTATTCCTCTGTTTTCTTCTTGGAATTTTATACTGTAATCACTTGTGTTTGTGCCTTTGATCTATTTTGGGTTAAGTTGTACATATTGTATGAGTTGTGCGTTTAGCTTTATTTGTGTGTTAATTTTTATAGCCCCATTGGTTAAAACACTCTTTCCAGTTGAGAAGTCTGAAAGCGATGTTCATAAATCAGTGGAGTGT